AATAATAACAGTTTCACATAATTTTTTGAGATCATTATATTTTGCCACTGAAATTGGCAATCGTTCCCTGGTGATAAAATATCATCCGAACTTCTACTTCCTTCTTTATTTTCATTTACTTTATCTGAGTCTTTTTTCTGTTTACCTTTATTTGTCTTCTTTCCTATTCCTTTACCTTTGCCTTTTTCATGCATTTGTCTGGAGAGATCAATATTATAAGTGGTACCATTTTCATGCATTGTATATTTCACTTGCATATGAGCCGATGCAGATTTTTTATTTGTTTCATACGCAGATCTTTGTTTTTAAGGGTTGCTGGAGTAAATATGGTATCCGATAGATTATTAAAGTTTATAAAATCCTATACCTCTACAGAATAACGCTTTGGGCGCTTTCTGGCAGTCTCCATAAACGTGGCCCATTGAGATGGTGCCCAAATAATCAAATTTTTTACTTCCCTTTCAATTACAGCGTGCATACTATCGACCGGCATGTATGTATGGCCAGGAAGGAGGTAGTTTGTTTGTATTGTTTGTAGATTTTGAGATGTTTGCAGGAAATATTTGAACAGGGATAATATCACTATTTTTATTCTGTCCCGTTCAGTTATCACAGTAAAATATTAATGTTTTTACTCCTCTGTTATCAACTTCTTTTAAATAACGAGTAAGGCATGTTGCTATTTCACAACTTCCCCTTTTACCGTCTCCTTCCCCCCATGTATAGCAATATCCATTTTGTGTTTTACACTCGTACACTGTAAAATTATATACAGCATACAATATGATTTTGAATCTGTTAGTAATAATAGTGTAGGTGCACTTATTTGTATTTTTTTTATAACCAACTAAGGTAAGGGACAAATTTTACAAATATATTTTCCGTGCAAATGATGTAAAGGCTAAGTTCAAAATTTAAATAATAAAAGTCTTATGTAAGAGACATATTTATTTATAAATTGAGATACCTTATTGAGATTATTAGAGAGGATAAGAAACGTGTTTCAAATTATTTTTTTCTTTTAAAATGTGCTTAGCCCATCAAACAATCTTACTGTAAGGGTCCTTTTTTTGAAAGATATCGTAATTTCAAGTATACCAGTCGATGGAGCGAAACGAGCCGATTTCAATGATATATATAACTCATTTTGCCCAAAATGTCCCTTACCTTAATTGATATTTCCGGTATCGACATATTTTGCGTGGTTTGTTAAAACTTGAGCTTTCAAAAACGTGGGCCTTAATAAGAGACATTACCCCATTATTATAAAAAGATTGGTCACATGTTACCTACACTTTAAATTAGTTATTAACCTACAGAAATACTAATTTGTCAAGAGATAAGTTTATCAAGTGTATTATATGTTCCTAGCGTTATTTGTGCTATGATACGATTCGTTTTATGACAAATGAAATTATACCCAATTTATGGGAAGCAAACTTTTTGTGATTGCATTCAGCTCGAAACGGCGCGCCTAATGGATGCCAAGCTTTACTCGTCAATAGTAAAACGGCAAGCATATTCATCGATATCATGGATTAACCATGTCAATATTTACACAACCTGTCTAAACAGGCACAGCTATCTTGAGAATACACATCGTTCTACGTTGTTCGTAGTTAAAAATAATTTTGGATTAGTGATTCATTAGATAGATTGACCTCTATTAATAAAAAAAAATACATACTTTATACTAACTTTATACTTTAGAACTCTTCAATTAACAAATATTGATGCAAGATAGTTGAACCTATTGCTGTAACACCGTTGTAAAAATTATTAATTATCCTTATAAGTGTTTATCTCATGTGGGGAGGTTCTGCACTCGTACACTACTTGTTAGGGGTTCTAAATAAAATCCAGTTGTTTGAATTCCGGAAAACCCTAACTTAATTTAATTCACCTTTGTTATATAAGAGCCACCCTGAAATGTTTATTTCGTTCTGATTTTAGTATTTGTTAATAACAACAACTATTCTATAACAACTTGTTATACTGGCAACAGAAACACATCAATCAATTATTTAGATATCGATGTTCATGAGGTACAACCTGATTACAGGTAGACAGACGGACAGACGGCTGCATAGCGCAGTCTTAGTAATAAATAGGCTTCGTTGTTACCATTTGATAGCCCCTTAAAATAGGTACTGGATGTAATACGATGTAATAAGGTGATACATCATCCAATATTAATAATCAAAGCTCAAATAAAAAAGATTATCTGAGTATCAAACACGTACATAAAAAGAATAAATTTTGCTCAACAAATTCTATCAGGCTTTATTTGTACCAAGGAGGTTATTTTAAAAGTAAGTTTTCATTATATCGCATCCATAATGTCAAAAACATTTACCCGGTTTCACCAATAGAATACACAGTAGATCTAGTCTGTTTTTTAATCTAAAAGACCATATTAGTGATGCGCCTCGAGCACTGTTTACTTGAGGCACTCGAGTGATTTTTTAAAGTCTTAAAAAAATAGAGGATGAGACTGTCGATGCAGTCATCTTATAAAGAAGAAAGATTTGACTGTTTTTTTTTGTATCGATAAGAATTTGAAACTACTGGACTAATTTCAAAAATTCATCCAGCTAGCTTCATCATAGGCGGGTTACATAGGCTAAGCTAGTTTATAATAAAAATTAAAGTAACTGATATTGATTATTGAAAAATTATTGAAACTGATTCCGATTGGAATTCGTTTTTAAAACCATTATCGATTAGTTTAATTTTAACTAAAATTTTAGCGTCACACCTATGTGTTAATTGAAGAATAATGGATGTCAAAAGTGTCTTTTTATCAGGAACAATGCACTTTATTACTAAGATTATTATCTAACACCGATAAAAAGTTACCGATTATTCTAAAATACCGGTTTTAGGTAATCGCTGCTAAAAAGCTGGTATCTTTATTTCCAAATTTGACATTTACATGTGCTAATTCGCCATTTTTCATTCATTTCATTTCATTTTCATTTTACATGTAGAAATTAAATTATTCACTAGACATCTGTTTTCTTTAATAGACTCCCCCTTAGCTACGCCTATACTTTTATAGGTATAATTATTATCATCAGATTGTACCGGATGGATACATTTGCCTATAAACTGAAAACAACAAAAGTCACCATGTGTGACTTCTTGGCATGGAATTAGTACTTAAAAAAAGGACAGAGTACACCCAGCTGAAAAGCGAGCCGAGCGAGATATTAAGTACAGAGGTTATTTGTCCCTTTTTTTTATCTTTACGTCCGTTACTGGGTAGATTGGTTTCATCCATTTAGAATATTTATGTATTAGAACTGCCAATGCTCATTTGGGACTTTTACGGGGGCCCTTTAGTGCGGAATGTTGAGTTGTTGGTTTCATCTATTAAGAATTAATGTGCTTTATTACCACCATGCTTTATTACCAATTCGTATTGAGATCTATACACGGACCCAGTTAATAATATTGTGTGGATCGGTTTTATTCATCTGTTAAGAATGTCTGTGCTTCAGTTCCATCATTCCGCATTAGGACCTACGCTTGGACTTACTCAGGAATGCCGGGTGGTGAGTAAGTTTGATCTGCGAAATGCATGGGTGACCATTTTTTTTCAAAAATGTAAAAATGGCGCATACAACTAAAGAAGAAAAGAGCATAAAAACCCGCCCAACTCCGCTCCGCCCCTCACCACCCCGTTGCAGCGCCTATCCTGCTCCACCACGCTCAAAAAAAACACACACTTTAATTCATGAATAAAAATACTATATTGAGAAAAATACTATATACTATAATTTAGAAAAAGTTTTTATATATTATGGATCTACAATAAGTAGGTCGAATTGGTATGCGTTCAATTAGTACGATTTAATTTAAATCGGCGATTGATTCATCTTAAAGCCATGAGTAAAGAGCCTAAGAATGAAGAGGTCTCATACCTTAAAAATAATACAGAAAATCTAAAAAGAACCTAGGGCAATGTCATATCATACATAACTAAAAAAAATTTATTTACATAAATTTTAGTATAATGTATGATAGGCATATATTTATCACGTTGTATAAAAAGTGTAACAAGAAATTCAATATTAAATAACTAACATATAGGTAGATGAAAAACCTAAATATAAAAATCTACTTAATATCCGTCTTATACAATCAACAAGAAAATCGATTAGCCTTATTATCATGAATACATAATCTAAAAGCTCGATTCAGGATCAGGCATCCCTAGTAATCGGTGGCCAATCTGTGGGGAATTCCCCAAACTGCGGGGATTTTCAGTTCAATTGGGTAATTTGTGGGGAGAGTGTCTATGTGGGGAAAATGCGGGGAATTGAGACTTTTACACTAGAACCACAGATAATATAATACTATTACCTAGATCTGAACTAAGAAGTAATAAAAGTAATCGAAGTAAGCATAATCTATTAATTATGTTCAACTTTAACTCAGTTTATTCGGCAGGTTCATATTAGACACAATGGCAACATTTATTTCCATCCATAGTTGCGTTCCAAAACTTGTTGAAATGTGGTTGAAATAGCATCAGGAACTACGTCTGGATGGCACAGCTGCTTGACAGAGATGTTAACGAAGAAAAAAATAGTCATGGAAAATATGGTGGGGTTCAGCTCAGATACGATCAATGTGATGGTGGGTGAACATTGCTCAGAGTTTGCACTCCTAAAAAAAGATTTGCCACATGTTGCTCTAATAAAGTGTTCCTGCCACATGATACATCTATTAGCATCAAAAGCTTACCTTAAATTACCTAGGTATCGGATCGCAGATTTTTATAAATTCTGCCAAGCCTTTTATATTGAACTAACTACGGATTTTACTAAGCGTTTTGATTTTTCGGACACATTATTTTCATTTATATCTGTAGTGAATCAATTACAAGCACAGCATTGAAAGTCAAATCCCTTAAACACTTGTTGCAACGATTTCCGATACTTGAAAATGTAGTGACATCTCAAAAACTAGATGACGAATGAAGAGCACACGCGATGTTAGATTACTCTGCTCTTGGTTTACAAGATGATGACAATTCAGAAACATACTGGGCTAAAGTGTTCCGTCTTAAAAACAGTGCAGGTCATGGAATGTTTTTAAATTTGAAATATGCAATAAGCCTATTGTTCCTTTTATCCTTTTCGAAGGCATCTGACGAAATAAAATTTAGCGTTCTGAAGAATTTGAAAACAGAAAATCATAATTGGCTGCAGAATGATACTGTTGTGGCGCTTATGACCACTAAAGACGGTATTACGAAAAAAGGAGGCAGCCTAAAATTTGAGCCGTCTAATGATATGTTAACGAAGCAAATTTGGCGCAGTGAAGAGCTGGAGTAAATACGTCAACTAAAATAAATAAATACTTAATTATAATTAATAATTATATTTGATTTAAATGAATAGTACTTTTATTTCTTTGCTGAATACTTGCGGGGAAAATGTGGGGAATATCGATTTTATTTTCCCCAAAATTGGGGATTTTCAGTTAGTCTTTTGGGTAATCCAGACCGTGGAAGTTGGCAACGCTGGGTATAACATAAACTGGTATGTGATGGTAACACTGTGGTTACACGTCAAATGGTTGGTGATATTGTCTTACTAAAATGTGCATTAATTGTGGATAAAAGTGTTTATTATTAAAATATCGCGATACAGACAGGCCAAAACAATATCTGGATTATTTTCATGTATATAAAAAAGGACATAATCATTCCTTAGTTCTAACGTTTTTGTTGTAAAGTAGGCTAAGCTTATCACAAAATGGGTAAGTGTTTTATGCATTGTTTAGTGCATTATTTTAGTTAAAAAAGTTTTTAATTCATTAAAAACCCTGGTATATTGCAGGTGGCCTGTTCAGTTACTTTAGGGGATTGCTGGGAGCAAGGGAAATGAGAATATTGATACTTGGCTTGGACGGCGCCGGAAAAACCACTATACTTTATAAACTTCAAGTCGGAGAAGTGGTTACAACTATACCAACTATTGGGTTCAATGTAGAACAAGTAACATATAAAAACCTCAAGTTTCAAGTGTGGGATCTTGGTGGTCAGACCAGTATTAGGTTAACATTTTTTTATATTGCTAGGTTATTTCATAAAATGCATATTTTATTACCTCCACATGATTGAATCTTTATTATAGATGCAATTTAGAAATTTACTCTTTGCCTATAAAATAAACTTTAATTGCCTTCACAGCTCACTATTCTGTTATTTGAATTTCAGGCCTTATTGGCGATGTTACTATGGGAACACAGATGCAATAATTTATGTTGTAGACTCTGCTGATAGAGACCGAATAGGAATATCAAAAGATGAACTGGTTCACATGTTAAGAGTAAGTATTTTATCTCTTATACAATTTATTATTTTGTGTTATGTTCACATATTTTATAGATCCACAAACTGTTTAAATTATAGCCTATGGCACTCTTATATAGTGTAAAGTCCAATAAGTGAAATATTTTTTTAAATTGGTCTGGACTAATAGGTCTGAAAAAGTACTTGTATTTTTAGAGCCTATTCAATGCATTCAAAATAACAATAATCCCTCCTCTTTATAATATTAGTGTAAAAACAATGGTGAATTTAGTTGCTTGAGTTGTAAAGATGAGATACTATTTAAACCTAATAAAATAATGGAGATGTGATCTATTGTCATTGCCTTATTGTACGTAACAAGTGTTAAAATAATTTATAAATTTATTTTTTTAATTTTGCATTCACAATGCTATATGATAAATATCTTTAATAAAAAATGCTTTAAAATCTACCAACACCAAGTACTCCCAAGATGGGATTCAAACCCATGACCTTTTGCAATCTAGGCGACTTCTCTAACTATTCCCTAGAACCAACGGGATAAACTAAGTTTTCAAACACTTGCAACTTTTCACTACTGGTTAGTGTATTTACATAAATATTAAAACAATTACATCTCAAGGTACCTGGGGCTAATGGTTTCTTTAATGCATATTTCAATAAAGAAATGAAAAAAATATTTTCAGGAAGAGGAACTAGCCAATGCAATTCTTGTGGTGTTAGCAAATAAACAAGACATGGCTGGTTGCTTGACTGTGGCTGAAGTTCATCAGGCTTTAGGTCTGGACGCCCTGCGTGACCGTACCTTTCAAATCTTCAAGACTTCTGCAGTAAGAGGAGAGGGATTAGACCAAGCAATGGATTGGCTGTCAAATGCTTTGCAGGCTAGAAAATAACATCAAAGATAGGGGTATGTACAAAAGAAGCTAAACAAATTAATGTTTATATTCATTGCATATAAACATCCTCTGGTGGCCTCCTGATACAGGTATTATATGTACTTAAAAGGAGGCACACCTTGATGTTCGTTATTGTAAATTGTGGAGAGATAATAAAGTATTATTATTATTATTATTATTATTGCAAAAAGAGAATTATTGTGGGATTGGATTGGCATATAACTCCTTAATTACAGTTTTTTTTTGCTTGCAATACTGACAAGCGCAAGTATCCATTCAATGCAAAGAAAATGTGAACAAATAACAATTTTAATGTATGGGAGTTGGCGGATGGGCTGCCAAGTAAAATCTTAAGATTAGTTCCTTTTGCTTTATTATTGGATCTGTATGTTGATATAATAAAAAAAATATTAAACATATGATGTCATATATTAAATTTAAATAAAATTATAGTAAATGATAAAATATCATATTACAACACAATTGTGGCTTAAAAAAATAGATATATTATATATTGTCTATTTTTTTTATATTAAATTTTCAATTTCCGTGTTATATCTAAAATTCATATTTAGATGACCAAATAGGCATATGGAGCAATAAATATGATCTTAAACAATATTTTTCACCCAATTGATTTATGAAGTTGCAATTTATAGGTGTGCTAGTAAAATAAATGATACCTTATATCATGGGATAATGCATTTCTATGATGATAAAGTTAAAAAAATATGTGAAAAATTGTCTAAAAATCATAAATGTAATTTGTCCACAGATTGTATGAAAAGGATAGTGAAATAAAATGCGGCTGAACTGAATGTGTGAGAGGGACAGATGATAAGTTAGTGATCTATTACGCCATTAACTTTAGTACTTAGTGTTGTCACTGAAAATTTGTGAGTGTTCACAATATATATTTTTATTTATAAATTTTAACCATAATAAAACAATACTGAGTAGTTATTTGTTCTTTCCTATATTATAAACATTATTGGCAGTATATCTTGTCATAAGAAAATTAAGATGAGTTTATATATTTTTTTTATTTGTAGTATTTATAGGTGCTTACTTTATTCTATTTAAAAATTATGTATAGTAATCAGTTTAGAGCCATAACTTTACCTAATATTTCTACATTTACATCAATGGCATTATCATTAAATTAATGTGTGATATTATTTAATTAAATAAATGAAAGCTTATTCCGAGCTCGGAATAGTTTGTATGAATGAAATATGTAATTCTGATTTCTAATCAACCAACCTGTTTGAAAATTATTCTTTACAGTCTGTCTGTTTTTATATTATCAAATGAAATATGAGATTTGTCTTCTATAATACGGCATAATATTAAAATGGTATATTTTGATATGTCATAATTACCTTTGACGAGATTCATTTTTGCATAATTCTGTTTAACATAATCAAAAAAGAACATATAACTAGGCATTACAGTTGGTAGTTTTTATGAAGTTGAATGCCTGTGAAATTAGGTGAAACAACCAATTCATCAACCATTATTTCCCATTACATCCTTCATCAGGCAAACTCAGTAAAATATAGAGTAATCACGCTGTTCAACATAAGCAGTAGATAATATCAGCCACAATGATCGGTGAAAATCTGACTGAAGAGGTCAATAAATGTGAGCTAAGAAAAGAGGGCGAAATTAACTGGCTTGAACAGCTAATTAAGAAGTTGGTGTTTATAGGACATGCTCGATATTTGTAAATTGATTTATTTATGTATGATTTAAGTTCAGCGTGTACTTTTTGGTTACATAACTTAAGAACTTATAAATATTTGAAAGAAACCTTTCACTACAAAAAGCAGAGTCTATAAGTTATGAAATAAACTGTGTGAAACATTGGATTCTGGCGAATTCCACAAGGGCAATGCCAATAATTAAAACGAAGAACACATAAGCTCCATAATATATTAACATATACTTCTGTGAGGTTCCACGTTGAATCTTCAGTCCGGTTTTCTCTGACATTGTGTTATTTCTAATATACTGGATTGTTTCTAGTGCTGTCATTCTTTTTTCGGCATCACTCACCATATATTTCATAATAAAAAAGCCCTTTTTCTTTATTTATATTAATTGAATACAAGATATATAATTAATACTTATATTTTAATACTTGTGTTTTTACAAATTTTCGACGACAACGCATTTTATCAGAAAATTACGCAAGTTGTTTAGTAGGGCGAGAAGTAGAAGAGCGGAGACGTAGGATTTACCTATAATAAGTTATTATAAATTACAATTAATTACATGATTAATATATATTTTGTATCAGTGACGTTCACCAAGCTAATTTATATTATATTGCGGTAAGAGAGAAATTTTCGAAATATAATATCATGCATATTAAACATTTGTTTTTTTTTTTTGTTTTAAACTATTACGGTTATTGTAAAAGTGAGTAAAATCTAAAAGTGTGATAATTGTAATAATCCATTAGATTTAGATTTTGAGGGATAACTGAGATTTTTATAAAAAAAAAAATCTAAGTTTTTTTTTGTTTATTGTTCAACGGCTTTGGAGACAGATGTAAGTGGCTGGATATTGGTGCTTTATGTTATTTATTTCAGAATTAACAAAGGGATCATTTTGTTCCATCCTTAAAAAAACACCGTGGGCAACTTAAATAATTTTAAGACTTAATACAACGATTTGAAACAGTAATTTATATAATATGACAGGGTTCACTAATCACTATTTGTAACATGTAAACATAGATCATAACATAATTATTGTTATAAAAAAAGTCTATTTTAATTGATACCAAGGTTTCTTTTCCTTTGGCCACCGTCGTCTGGCCGGGTCAATGACAGGGCAGTCTTTATTTTTTCTTCCGCTTATCAGTTTATAAGCTAAAGCTATAAGTCCAGCACCTATTGCTACCCCTCCGATGATAGGCAGCCATGCTGTTATGCCACCACCACTATCTGCATTCGCCCCTGAACAGTAAAAGTGTCATCATCGTCATCATTAGCCTATTAATTTGCCCTCTGCTGGTGTATCGTATCAAGTAGAAAGAACAGATGGGTGGGTAAATTTTGGTCTATTTACACACCCATTTCTTGTTAAGTATCTCATTGTTAATTTTTAATAATTTAGAAGTATTTAAAAAAAGTTCCCGAAATCAAAGTAGATGTCGCTACGTTACTATCATGATTTCTCAATAGCAACCCTTCCGGTTTTCTTTCATGTATAAAAGTAAATTAATTCAAAACTCAATAAACAACTCATATTCTATTTGTACTTTTTCGTATTTGTATTGATATCTAAGTTTAAACTTTGCAAATTTCATTTTTTTAATAAGTTAGATAAAAGGAACGGAAATTACTATCTTTGGCCCATTCGTTTCCTGCAAAAAATAACTTTTGCTAGAGTCGCCATCTAGTGTGGTGCTTTTGAGTGCTTTCTTTTTTTTTTCTTAAAATACCTCTTCATTACAGTTTATTTGAATGTTATTTATTTGAATGTAAAATACCTCTTCATTACAGTTTATTTGAATGTTATTTTATCGAACAATTTAGTGATTTTAGGTAGGGAATGCAATTCAAAGTCGTTAAAAAAAAGGCCGAGATTGATCTTGGTCAAAAAATGGGCGAGATCTCGCGAGTTTAACGAGATTGCGTTCGAGCATTAAAACGATTAAAAGGCCAAGTTTTACACTTTTATAGTGTTTTCGAAAGAGTCTTCTCAGTGGCTATCTGGCCAGCACAATAATAAGACGAATAGTAAAACTTCTTTGGACATTTTGTGCTTCTTCAGAAGCGACTTTTAAAATTATTCGTAATAATGTGTGTGAAGTGAAACGAATAAGCCTTTAAATTAATTGGTATATTTTGTAATTTATTCTCTAATTTTTAATAGATCTCTGGGTACACATAGTTTTCTTTGATTAATAATAATCTCAGTTTAATAGTCAATTCAACTTAGTGAGTTTTATTTTAGTTTCTATTTTTTTGTTATAGAAGCTGTGTATTATAATCAAAATTTTGTTTGATATTAGCAGAGAAGACTGGTTGTTTATTTCATTTCGTATTTGATTAGATACGTCGAAAGTTTAGTTTCTTAAAAGATCTGGATGACTAAGCTTTACTCGGCACTTTTATAAAATCTCTGAAAACCTAATCATTACTTAATGTCATGAAAATTTTGCAGCCGTTTCTGAGATTATAATACAGTAATTGCTCTTTTAAAGGTTTAAGATAAATAAATATAATTGCGTCAAACAATGTTAAATACATAAAACTATATTGAAAATACCCGTAAAATACGTTTTTTTCATAATACCTATAATTACTATATTTTTTCCAAATTTATTGAAATATTGTGATTTGAATAAATATTACAGTAATCACACAAAAGTGCCTATCTCGCGAGATCTCGCCCGAGTCCCAATCTCGCGAGATTGCATTCCCTAGTTTTAGGTCTATACGACCTCTTAAATCCTAGTATAACTGTGAATGTTATGTTGAATGTTCTAAAATTTGATTGATTTTTATTTTGAAAATTACCTGTGGGCCTATTCTATTGTACTCTACCGAAAATTCAGAAAATTTGGAATCGCTTTAATAATTTAATTAAAATCATATCCATGAAGATTATCTATACATCAGACACTGTGTCAGGTCTTACGTCCGTTGCATCATAAATTATCGAAAATTCTTGGAAATCGTGTTATCATTTCGAAAATAGATGAATTTTCGTTTTCGGAGAAATAGAATAGGCTTTTAGCAGTCATGTTCATTGGTACGAGAAGTAGAGCGCGTTCATAGACAGGGATTGTAGTAGCACTTTTAAGCCACTATTATTCATATCGACTTAAAAGTGCGCGTCAACATATTTTTTTATCCTGGGAAAATGCGTTACGCACCTTACGGGACGGCAGGGTATATTTGGGAGATAACGGACCTTATCATCATTATCATCAGCCTATTAATGTCCCCACTGCTGGGCATTTTCCATTTCGAATCCGGAAAATGGGTTATGCATGACCCATTTCACGGGCCCAATGCAAAATGTTGGGTATTATGTAATGCAGATGAAGCCGGTACCGGTATCACAGACAATATAACGGACCTACTCAATGAGAACACCACTGAACAGGTCCAGCTCACTCTGTTAGTGGCCTACCCACCAAAAACTATCAGCTGTAAGTATAGATGGATTATGTTTATGGTTACAAACCGCAAAAACCGCTGTAGTTGCGCGACTTTGAGAAAGCGCCCTAATAAAATAAATTAATTTAAACAACATAGTCATGTTTAGTTGGCTCAAATCGTGTAATACTGTACCGATTTTAGTATGAAGCTTCAATGTATTTTTACAATATGAGCGCAATAATTAATAGAGAAAAAATAATAACCTGTCCCTCGTCTTGCGCTCATTCCTTGACGATATGTCTGGCTCTGCTTGTACTCGAGCGTTTTAACGATTTGCCATTCATTTTTTATTGTCACTGCAACGGATTATCATTATTAACTTGGTAAGTTTCGTAAATACATAATTATTATTTTGTCTTCTATCAAAGAGTACAAAAAGAGTATGTGGCGAAATTGTCTTAAAGCTTAAAACGTAGTGTTTAATACTCTTTGTATGTACCTAGGAATACTCATTTGATTTATCATTTATGCTTTACTCTAAATGCTAAAGGCTGGTGGTATATCGGCTAAAACGCTGTGATACAACATTACCAGGAGTCTGGGGTCCATGAGTCTCTAGTATACACTCCCAGGTGGGCACTCTCTCTCTCTAGAGTACACATTACGAGGATGGAAGATTCATACAGCAACTTCCCTAAAACAGGCAGAGCTGTGCCTAGACATTGCACGGCTCTGCCTGTTTTAAGGTCAGTTACTATCGCCGCTAGTTATGAAGGGATGCGATAGCATGCAATCCCGCCCGCCTTCCCATCTTTATCGATGTTTCGTCAAAGAAAGCTTGCCCGCGGGTTTTCTTGGGTTTTGAAACGAATTCTTGATTCTTATTTATCAGTTCGTTACGAAATATGGACAAATACCCAACTTACGTAGTTTTGGTGATAAACGAGATTTTTTGCGGCGCTGCTAGGCTAACGTCAGTCTGGCAGCGTCACAGCTAGAAGAGTATTTATTATAGAAATCGAAAAATTCCGGTCGATTAATTTTTATTTATCAGTCTAGGACATAGCGATGATAAATTGCTAAGAATATAGTTCTTCTTTTACCTATTTTCTATACTTTTGAAGGTTACTGTCAAAAGTATATGCAATATTTATGTCACCGCGTTCATAATTTAAACGTTCAAATAATTATTTCTAATTGTATTATTATTATAAATAACTTTGTTTTTAAAA